ATGATGTATCAGATTTTCCAAGCTCTCCCTCCTCATTATGTGCCCTAGAAACCTCAGCTGAGCCTTCCTGATGTTATGTATAAGTTTCTTCTCTAAAACTTTGTTGTTGCTCCCATGTTCGGTCCATGGTATCCTCAGCATCCTTCTACAGAACCACATTTCTGTTCCTTCAAGTCTCTTCTTCATCTTTGAGAAAATTGTTCAGAATTTAATGCCATATAGGAGGACAGATATCACGTAACAGTTTAGTAGTCTTTTCTTTGTTTCTAATCTAATTTTCCTTTTCTTAATACTTTGCTTATCTTCTGGAAGGTATCTCCAATTTGTAATTTGCATGTTGGGCTGTTGCTTTTGCTAACAACCATGAATTCTATCTTCTTGCAATTAATGTTTAGTCCTTTCTTCTTGCTTTCCCTCACTACCTTCTGTAGGAGTTTTTGTAGTTCCCTTTCTATATCTGCTATTAACACTATGTCATCTTCATATCTTATGTTGTTAAGATTGTGGCTACCAATAATAAATCCTGGTAGGACTCAGAATCACCTCACTGTATATAGGTTGAATAAATCTGGTAAGAACACACGTCTTACACCTCTTTCTACATCTACTGAATTTATTTTCATTTCACAAAAAAAAAAAAAAAATGTCCAGAATATAAAAATAAAATTTTATTGTCAAAATCTTTGTTGTTAAGGATTTTTTATGTATAAATTGATTTTTCTATTCTTTTTAGAACCCTGGTAATCTTGGTTAAAAAAAAGTTTCTTTTTTTTTGGGGGGGGGGCATTAAAATGGGACCTCTGAGAGATTTTTTGTTTTTGTCAATGAAAGACACATTTGTTATATCCTGTCAGCACTCCCACATTTTTTAAAAACAACCAGAAAAGCTCAAATAATGATCATTGTAAAACGGTTTCAGGATATAAAAAGGCCTCAAAGCATCAACTCCATCACCGATACCCAGCAGGATTATCATCTCTCAGTTGTGTGCCTGTCTATGGGCAGAGTGCAACTCCATTGTGGCTCTGTCTGGTGACAGAGTTTAGCTGGGGAAAATAAAATACTGTGAAGTGCACAGTTCTGAGGGAACAGCTGCCTACAGCTGCACCCCTCTCCACATTGCACTAGAGAGGAGATCAGTAGTCATACAAATGCCAGCACAACCGACAGTTGCAGGGCTGGGCAATTTTTGTCCAGGGCCAGAGAGCACATGCTTGAGTTCCTCACATTAAACCGGACATCGTGTCACGTCCCATCTCAGTGGGGAGACTGGGGTAAATACTACCACTCCTTGACCCAAATGACTGAGATCAAAGTGTAGTATCTGTTCCAGCAGCTGACAGCCAGTCTGTGGCTCCAGTTCGCCATCAGCTGCCACTCCAACAATCTCCACTCAGCTTCTATCCATCCTTGCCAGCAGCAACAATATACAATAAACTGTCCTTTTCAGGACAATATTCTTCTCACCTGTATTTTTCATGTGTATGCAAATATACTTTTTGCCTAGTGCACTGTAACCTTTTTTTTTTTATGTATTTTCTTTAACAAAAATAAACTTGGACAATATATTTTGTCTTTGTCAATGCCTTTTTGTTTTGTTTTCTGTTGCATTCTGTCTTTTAATATGTTTATGGTTCAATATACCACCTGCAACACATTGATTTAGGAATTCTTTCAAAAATCAGATAATTGTCAGATTTTATTGAAACTTTCATGGTGAAAGAAATGAAAATATATTTGAAACGTTTTTCAAGAAAATCTTTGAATGTTATTCATTTAATTTTTAGTATTTCTTTATTTTATTGCAAAATTTGTTATGTCCTTGATTAATTTAAATGAAAGATTTTTGTCCAAATAAAAAAAAAAAAAAAAGTTTTCACTGAATAATTAATTTTTACAAGAATTTTTTTTTTTTACCTTTTTAGAAAAATTTATAAACTTTTAAAATTATGTATTAATTGGTTGCATCTAAATGATAGATATTAAGTTTAAATTGTATTTACTAATCATGAATAGAAAAACTCACTACAATTTAATGACCCACTATTTTAACAAGTGAGTGGGGTGTGTGGATTTTTGTAAATACAGACACATCAGAAAACAAGAGAGGTACTTATGGTAATATCCGTTTCCTTATAAGGAAACATTCTGTATTCATTGACTGGGCAGCCAGTACTGCTTTCAGCTGAAATTTACAAAATTTCTCTTAAAACAGTTCTTCAGGAAAATTGTTCAAGTTTAGTGGTGATTATTGTTCTTTTCAAGGTTGATGGGAACTTCCTTCCATTGAGGTTTATTTATTGCTACTTTTAAATTTCTCAACAAGCCAAACTACCTAAAAAAATTCAAACAAATATTACATTGCTTAAATTTTTTTTTTTTAAAAAAAAAAGAAAACGGCGTAGTTAAAAAAGAGAAAAAAAAAGAGAAGCAGTCAAGTAATTCCTGTCAGTTTTTCCCTTCACTAAGAACGAAAAAAAAAAAAAAAAAAAAAAAAAAAAACAAAAAAAAAAGGAAAAAGAAGAAAAGAAATGTTTTTCGGATGTATTTCAATAACCTAAACGTAATATTTGTTTCAAATCAGGTTCGTTTCTTAATTTGAAAGATTAAAAAATCTCATATAATGTTAAGAGTTGACAGATCTGAGGAATAACAGGCACCGTCAGCTACACAAGCCGACGTTGGATACAATCTACTTGGGCTAAACGTGCAAGTGCTTCTGGAGAAGATCGCAAGATCTACCTGTCTATGGAGGAATACTGATGGATGAAGAAAAAAAATTCCAATAAATCTAAATTCATTTGGAAATAAATACACCAAATACCTATTGGGAATAATTTTTTAATCTATTAGCTTTGAATTAAAACTAAAATTGAAGCTTGGGGGGGGTACAGGAGAATTAAAATCAGAAAAGAAATATCAAAAGCGGTGCAAGTTTAAAAACAGAATTTTTAATGTTTAGCTTTTCTGATAAAAAATGTTGACTAATAAAAAGTGAAAGGAAAAGCAACGTATCAGAAAGGATGCATATAAAAAAAAAAAAAGAGGAGAATGAACTGCCTGAAATACGTCTCCTGGTCAGCTCAGTCTGCACTTGAAGTCACCTGAGGAAAGAATATCGCTCGACATAGCAAATTTCGACAGTATCCGACCAAGAGGTGGCATAACCAGAAGCTGAAGACTAGGGAAACAGTTCTATATTCCTTTCCACTTCCTTCGCAGAATCTAATAATGATGTATTCAGCAAAAAAATATACTAACAGAGTTGAACTCCGAAGTATATCCACGGGGTAGCATTAAAAAAAAAAAAAAAAAATAGCCGTAAATGTTTGCTACTTTACCAAAGTAGCAAACATTACGAACATGACAAAAACTCCTTCCAGAACCACCCATACATGCAAGCAAGAGGTAGAGGTGAAAGTTCTTGGTAGGACCCATTTCCCAAATGACGGAACTTTATACCTTTGATTTGGCGGATAATTTAACACAAAAGGTCGATGAAAGAAACCAAAAGGAAAAAAAAGATATTGTGTAGGTCTTTAAACCTAAGGGAAGCATGAGGGGGGGGAAAAAAAAATTTTGGATGTGTTTTTTTTTTTTTGTTGTCTAATTTCTGGGTAATTTACCTTTTAAGCCCCGCGCTAAATATATAATAAAAATTTGCCGAATAGTTATATTTACGTATAAGTTTACATACTTAATTCGAAAATAAAGAAATTGATAAAATCTACAGTTTTAGAATTATCGACAATAGAAGTTCAAAATCATTCGCGTCGCGGCAGCCATTACTGGCATTGTTTGCAGATATTTGCTGCGGAATAACTTTTTTTTTTTTTTTTTATTGCGCACGCAATGAGTCCCGAGTTGCGCAGTAATTCAGTCAAGTAACAACCGTAAAAAGGTCGTTAACAATGTAATCTGCAAATCTGCTCAGCAGTGAATGTATGCAAACAACGCCAGTAGTGTCTTAACGCGAATGAGTCCGAACTTATTATCGATAACTCCTAAACGGTAGACTTATCAGTTTATTTTCGAATTAAGCATAAATTTACACGTAAAAATATAACTATTTGGCAAATTTTATTACATATTTAGCGCGGGGCTTAAAAAGCAAATTACCCTAATTTGTTTCATCGGCCTACATATAGCAAGTAGGAGTTATGAATTATTGTGGGGAAGCCAAATAAAGGGATGCATGGGGGGGGGTATATACGTATACTTTAATTTTAAGTAACCATTTTTATGAAAAATTCAATTAAAGGACTCTTAATATGGAAAGGCGAAGGATGAAAAACTCATTCCAAAATTAGTTTCAGAATAAGGAACGAGGACAAAATATTTAATCAAGAATTATTGTTTACCACAGCAAATTCCTTTACACACAAAAAAGTATGGGCCGATATCCCAAGAGAACTTTTTTTTTAATTTTATTATTCAATTAAGAAAACTTTAATAAAAAAGTGACAATGAAAACAGTGACTAACTAAAATATCTGCTAGACAAGTGTGATAGATCCTACATGGACGGATCTAGAAATTAAAAATTAGGATTCATGAAAGAAAAGTCAAGATACCTGTGTAGAGTTTTTACCATAAATAAAAATATAAGTTATGGGAATTCAGTTTTTTTTATGGCACGCACATATTGTGACAAATAGCAGTTATACAGTTATGACTTGCGAAAAAGATTCAACATTTCATTATTACAATTCAGTCAAATGACCGAAAAAGATTCATTAGTCCAATACATATCTGTACAGTTAAAGCTAATGTATTTTGTATTAACAGGATTACAATTGATATTCATTAAGTTATCAACAGTAGAAAATAAAATAACCTAGTTACTAATCCAGCGTCTTAAATTTAAAGAAATTTCCACGGCAATATACAAATTGTTTACTGTAGTCAATTAAGGAAGTAAACAAATGCGGTTCAAGCAAGGCCTTCAAGTAACAAAAGCCGTCAATTCATTAAGCGCTTTGACGAATAATTTCAAAGAAGTTAAACGTAATTTGGCAATACTGAAGCAGAACCGTCAAAGCTTTGCTTAACACCATTCCGCAGATTCATATTCCATCCTTTGTTTCTGGGTGTTTGCTGGAGGACAGATTCTGCTTCGCGAACCTTCTCACGAAGGACCATCGGAGACTCAAGAAGGTGGAGTATATCAGCAGTATCTAGCTCGAGTAACATGCCGGTTATTTTACCGGCAAAGTCATTGTTCTGCTTAACCACTTCTGCGTAGAGTCGTTCACCGAGGAATTCCTTCTGTTCGTGAACAGACGCCGAAGACAGTTTCTCAAGGGTCTTATCTTGAAGTTCCACACTGGGCCCTTGACGTACTTGAGAGTTTGGCTGTGATAGAACAGGCATCGCCGGCAAGGACAGCTGTTTGTAGTTAGATTGATTATTCTGATGAGCTAACATTGGCGCATGATGAGCATTGTGCATGTGTGGGATAAGCGACGGTGCAGCCAACCCCATCTGGTCAACAATGCCTCGGGGATTACTATTGCCAGAGTCAAAAGGCGGTCTCATCGCCATAGGATGTTGGCTACTACCAGAAGGGTGAATAGGCATTCTGGGGTTAGTTGTCTGTCCAGTGATTGGCCGAGTATTACGAGGATTTCTCGTTTGTCTAACTGGAACTGGGACACGATTATATCCCACAGCATTTTGAACCTGGTGCAGCACTTGCCAACGTGGGAGGCTGCCAACATGTAACTGAGGGGGTAAGTGGTGAGGATAGGGTTGTGCAGCAGGGACGAAGTAATTGCTGCTGGAGGGAGGTATCATGGAACGGGTCATTGAATTTTGATGCTGAACGGCAAACTTTCTTCGTTCTTCTTTACTTAGTGCCAAAGCTACGTAGAGAGGCTTGACGGATATAATTCGACCATTCATCTCTTCAATGGCCTTGATGGCCTCCTCGGAGTTACTAAAACACACAAACCCAAAGCCTTTCGACCTCCCATTTTGAGTCATTATCCTTACACTGGTCACTTTTCCAAATGCGGAAAAGTCTTTGCGAAGCCTGTCTTCAGTAATGTCATCGTCAAGATTTTTAATGTACAGATTGATGCCTTGGAACTGTGACCTTTTCTCGGTCCGCTGCTGTTCAAATTTGTCCTTTAACATCTGTTGGCGTTCGTCGGCCTTCTGTGCTCGCCCAATATACAACTTCTTGCCGTTTAGCTCAAAACCGTCAAGTTCGTTTACAGCCTTTTCGGCGTCATCATTTTTCTCGAAACTAACGAAGCCGAATCCTTTCGATTTTCCGGCATCGTCTCGCATGACTTTGTAACTGACAAGGTTCCCGAATTTTATGAACAACGACTTCAACCCGTCATCGTCAAGGTCATCACCGAAGTTTTTTATATATACATTGCTGAACTTGTATTTTTCCTTCAGTCGTTCTTTCTTGGGTACGAATTTGGCAACGTATACTTTCTTACCGTTTAATAACATTCCATTTACCTTGTCAATAGCGTCTTCGGCACATTTTTCGTTCTCAAAATGCACAAAACCGTAGCCTTTGGAACCTTGCTCATCAGAAACAATCTTACAAGAAAGAATTGGACCAAATGCAGTGAAAGTATCATACAAAGTCTTGTTGTCGATGCTGGGATCAAGGTTTTTTATGAAGATATTACCCCTGCCAGATTTGCGAAGTGATGGGTCTCTTTGTGACCACATAAGACGCATCGAACGACCTAAGAGCTTGTCGAAATTCATTGTATCCAGAGCTTTTGCAGAGTCTTTAGAGTAATGAAAATTGACGTATGCATAGCCAAGTGACTTCTTATTAACCATGTCTCGGCACACCCGTACAGATTCTATGGGTCCAACAGAAATAAATTTGTCATAAAGCATGGATTCTGATACTTCTGGAAGTAAGTCACCTACATAAAGAGAAGTTCTACCACCGTCCATTCTGTTACCACACTATTTCTGCTCCAATTTGTTTCCTCGTCTTCCACTAACAATTTCTCTCTTATCCAAGACCGTTGCGAACAGGCAAGCGGTCCAACTTTTTTAAACCAATCACAGGACTTAGCTATGACGTCACAGGTTATTGTTTCGTTTCTGAGACAGATCTAAATTTATTGCGGTGGGGGGATGAATTATATTTTTATAAATAAAAACAATAGGAAAGAGGTAAGATGGCATATTGTAACAGTTAACACCCCGCTCTTATATACACACTTATACAAGGTGATTGAAAAGTAATTCCCTATTTTATGTATGGTGGATTCTCCCGTCTAACTAATATTTTTATTTTTTTTTAAATCATGAAATATATTGTCTTTACCCTGTGAAGGGACTTTTCAGCTAGTACATGTGTAGATCCTTTCTGGAACTTCTGTGCTCGAATCCATTTCAGAAATAGATAATTCCCACATCTTAAAATTACCCGCCTCCAAAAAAAAAAATAAACGTTTTACTTCCCCTTCCCCCGTGAAATATTTTTTTAAATTTAAAAAACAAATAAATAAAAATAAACAATTTTGCTTTGAATTACATATATCTTCTTTTTTTTAAAAGTCCTTTACATCAAATTTCAAATGTAATACTCAGTAAATGTCTTTTCTGTTAAAAGTAGGAATACCATTTGTAAAAGATGTCTTCATGCCGACAACGACCCTTCCAGAAAGAACCCTTATTATACACAAAAAAAAATATCGCCTTCTTCAGTGTTTCTGAAGTACTGTAATTACTTTGCTTTGACAATTGTGCTTGCAATAGTCAAGTACTGAATATTAACATGTAATTCCCTTCCTATTATCATCTTGAGCCTTAAGTAAAAAAAAAAAAAGAAAAAGTAATCTGTTTGCACAATATTAATTTTCCCATATATTAAAAAAAATAATATTGAGGAAAGAAAACTGTTCCCAGTTCATAAAAATTTTATTAACGAACAGTGGAAAGTTATTTAATGAACTCAACTTGTTAAAAGATGGTTCGCGTTTTTCCATTAAGTAAAAATATTCCAATTTAACAATCTTTCTCGCCTTTCAGCATAGTTTTTTTTTATTTATATATTTTCTGTGCGTTACGAAAAGTTCGATCTTCCTGCTGAAGATAATTCTAATTCACCACAAACCCGTTACCACAATTTGCTGTGTGAGAGAGTGAAAAAATTTCCGCAAAAAGTAATTTTTGCAGCATTATTCGTTAGAAACAAAGAAAATAATACTGAACTGTTACGCGATATATATATGTCCTCCTACATGGCAGTACATGCTGGACAATCTCCTCAAAGCCGAAGAGACTTGAAGTAACCAAAAAAAAATGTGGTTTTACAGAAGGTGGCTGAAGATACCATAGACTGAATATGTAAGCAATGACAGTTTTAGAGAAAAAGGAAACTTATACTTAACATCAGGAAGAAACAGTTGAAATTTCTAGGGCATATGAGAAAAGGGGGCTGAGAAAATCTGAGAACTGATAGGACAGATTGAAAAAGCAAAAAGGACAAAGAAAAACTATGCATAACCTACTTAGTGAGCGTGATGGCAGAATAAGGTTTCAGAGAAATAACAAAATTATTAAAAACTGCAAAGGAAGGAAATTGTGGAGAACTATGATCGCCTACGTCCTGAGGGGGGGGCACATGAAAAAGATTCACAAACCCTACCAAATATTAAAATAAAAAAATAATGATTAATAAAATATGTAAATATATTAATGTAAAATATGTTTTTTTTTTTTTTTTTTTACACTTTTTGGGAGAAGTGTATTTAAAAGAAAGACTGTTTTTGAAAAATGTAATTTGATTGCTACATTTATCTGTAAAAGTTACTAAATTTAGAAGTGACCCTAAAAGGACCACCGAAAATGATTTCGGGCTGTCACCTGTGGATGAGCCGGGCTGTTTCTCATAGAATAAGCAAAGAGAAAAAAGTGAATAACGTCAAACCCGTGAATAGAACTTCTGAAGAAGAAAAATTGTTAAAAGTTCCAGTGACCCAAGTGGATTTGCTAAAGCGACCTTTTGTCTTTCTATTAGGTTGTTGCAACTTTTTAAAGAGTATTTTCAACCTTACGTAAAGTTTTTATTACCTTCTCAAAGTCCCCACCACAAATTATTTGAAGAGTGTATTGCAAATCTTTTTAAGGGCTGTTATATATTTGGATCTGTTATTTGCCCTTACTAAAAAAAAAGTCTCATGAAAGGAAAATTTTCTGCAAGACTATTCTGTAAAATTGTATTTTGTTACATTGTTTTTTTCTTGTGATAAAAATGTTTATTCCTTTCAAAATTCACTTAGTTTCAAGTCTTGTTCATTGTTGTTGTATGCACCTTTTCCTTTTTTTTTAATATTCGAGATAAGAGAGGTGACATTCATTCTCTCATTCCCTTCCAGGGAAAAATCCTTTCATTACCATGCAGTATGAATGTATACAAAAAATTGTATCCGGACTATTTCTGTTTAATCAGAATCTGTTTTTTGATTCAAAATTTTTACTTCAGAAATTCTAAGCAAGGCGCCTATTGTTGCAAGCGAATTTCAGATAATTACCAATAATATTCGATCTTTACAAGGTGTCACTTGTATACACTGGGTTCAACTTAAGTCGAAATCTTAGTTATGCGACATACAATATCAGAAACTGAAATCACTATTTTATTTTTCTTATTACCTCAGCCAATCACGAAGACATTTTCTAGGAGTTGGAAAAACCTGACATCCTAAACGGAAAAAATAAATGAGTTCAGTGTTTCCATAATTTACTTTGATTTTTCTGCCCGAATTTCAGGGATGAGGGGGTGATCATTATGTACATTCAAATTTAATGATTATATCTTCATCTTTATTATCATATTTCAATCAAGGGACAATAGCCCAGTGGATCACTTGTTGGTTCTTGAATTTGATGGCATAGGAGTTGTGATTTCGATCCCTGAGCCACGTAGCATAGGCTCAAACATGGTAAGAACGAAGCGAATAATAACTGAATATTACTTTAAGAACAATCTGAGAAATAATTCTCAAATCGACGGGAACAGATCCTTAATCAGAATCTGGTCTTTGATTTTAAAAACCTTTTTAGCTCAGTTCGGACATCCTCATCGACCGGCTAAGTGTTGTGTTATATAGTTATACTTGACTTTTTAAGTGGGAAGGTTCGCCTTGAAAATCAGCATTGGCAATTAAATTCTGACTTTTATTTATTTGTTTGGCTATCGACTGTAACTGTCGCCATTTAAGAAATAACTACTTCGATAGCCTTGGCGCACCGACATGAATGGTTTATGGTTTTTAGGTTGATAATATAGCGAGAGTAAAATAAGGAGTTCGTTCGTCACTTGCCGTTCCATTGTACCCAAAAGAACTAAACCAAGTTTAGTAAATTATCACCAAGACTTCATTTGATTTTTTTTTTATTAAAGTTAGCTAAAGAAACAGGTTATAACTTGAGGAGTAACGTTGATAACTGGAGATGTGTGGTTAAGTTCGTTACATTCACTTTTGAACAGCCTTGGAAAAAAGAAAATGTATTGTAAGGAAACCATTTCTTGACTTTGAACTACTTATTTACCAGGCCAAGAGATTTTTTTTTGTTTTTTTTTTTGGAAACTGCGACTTGGATAAAAAAAAAACAGTTGATTATGGAACTTCTATATTCTAAAAAGTAAAAACATACGTACATTGCCGATAATTACGGTGGCGAAGAATGAATTCAAAGAAAACTTAATTAATAATTGAAATAATGTCGTCTATTATTGTTACATCCGCCTTCAATAAACAATTTATATTCAAACTAATTACAATTAACGAAAAATGATTTAGGAACAATAGTTTAATTATGGTGATCCAATTGTTCAATGAGGCCAAAGAAGTTGTACTTTTGTCAAACAACACATTGTTATGAGGATGCATCCGCTATTTTAGTCAATTAGGCTTATTTTATTTAGTCAACTTTGAGTCTGGTAAACGGTAGCCTAGCCCACTTCTCAAGCCAAGATATGGCCTCGCACTGCTATGGTTGCAGTACAGGTATTTATTTTGTATGAAAATACAAAATTGTGGTACAAGGCCAAAGGGGAAAAGGGGATGTGCTGGTCTTCCTTAGCTGTTCTGGTCCTAGTTAATCCGACTCGCGACCCATTCTTTCATTATAAAACTTTATTTTCATTCTATTGTAAGTAAAAAAAAAGGTAAGCATTATTTTTTTAAAACAGTTTTTTAAGCTTAAGTCTTACTTGACTTTACTTTGAAACGCATATCTAGGACAAGTATTAGATTTTAACTTGTTTACATTCTTTGTACTGTACACGATGGCAGCTCGGTGAGTGATGAAAAAATGTGCCAATGTTTTTAAAATACCTAAAGAAAGTAGTGTGCATGTAAATATAGAAATTAATTTCTTTTAATTCGGACTAGCTTTTTAGGCCATTATCTCTCAAGAATAGAAACGGAATTTTAAGTTAAAATGCATTTTTTTTTTTTTTTTAGAAAGCCTGTGTCGATACTTTAGAGAACGAAATATGGCCTTTTTATTTATTTATTTTTTAATTTTACTTGGACTGAACTCACCTGTCAGATTTTTTTAAAAAAAAACTTTTTGTGATGAAAAAAATATCATAGATGTTTTGTTTATTTTTAGATGCAGACTTTGAAGTTTCTTCGGACATTATTACTCGGTAATTTATTTCAGTCACAATACAAAAAAATGAAAAAAAGGCATATTTTCAAATG